ATAGTAACTTTGAGTTGCCCATCCCTGCTATACACCGATACATGTACAGCATTGTGTTAAAGTATTTTTAAACTACATACGTCGTTGGAATGATCGTCTTATTGAATGGATGTATGTTATGCATATATTCTTAATACCGAATTTAGCATTTAAGTCACCTTCTTAAATAACATAATATAATGGTAAAATAAAATATATAAACAAATTATATTCACAGTTTATTTTTATGTACGTTAAATTGTACCAAGTATAGCTATGTGATTTATCTAGTATTAATAAAAAATTATTTCAAGATATTCTCAATTTTCATCGTTATTATTAAACTATGATTTATTCTATATAAGCTATAAATATGCATTATAGTATAATGCACGTTACAATGTGTTCGTTTAGAATGTACCACTATTATTCAGTATGAATTAATAGTATAAATGCATTTAGAGCTTCTCCCATTGGTCATCTTTATAATAATAAATGATAATACATGCCTATCTATATTATAAAGGTTCTTTTCGTCACATTGATATTAAATTATGATTTTTCCATATGATTCGAGTGTATCTTTAAACATAAAAAATATAAACAATTTTTTTTTCGAATTTCATATACGTGTCCAAAGAATTCTCTTAATAATATTTATTTTTTTCCTTTTGTGATAACTATTTTTACTTAAAATATTGGTGTAACTATATCTAGTAAGTACTAAGTAGAGAAAAGGTAAAATAATAGCATATAGTATATTATTTGTTTAATATATTATATAGATGTACCTACAATATCTGTGGTTAATATAAAATTATGAATTTATAATTATTGATTTTATTTTATAATTTTTGTTTAAGTACCTTCTAATAGAAAATAAATTTTTTGAATTATAATTTTAATACTAAAAAAGAAAATAAGATAATCATTCAACTATACAACTATTCACTAAAAGTTAATATACCTACTACATTTTTTGTATACGTCATTTTACAGTCAACTATGAAACATCTGTGAGTTAAAAAGATAAATTTAAATCACAAGTACTATTGGTGAACGGAGAGCTAAAAACTATACGCCACCTGTAGATTCATGTAGTTGTTTCGAAATTTGAAGTGTTTATGCCAAAAAATAATTATCTTTTATTCCTACATGAAGGTTTACATCGGCTGTTTTCAAAAAATAGTAAGTGTAATTTACTTAATTATTTTAATATAATATTATGTTACAATGTGGGAGGAATAATTTATTGGGTTTCAATAATACTATTTGTATATTTGCACTAGTGAATCAATTTTCTCGATTGCCCGAATTATCAATAAAAAATGTTGCAAATTTTATCATGTTTATTGTTTCCGAGCATAGTTAAAAAAATTATTATTATTCTATTGGTAATACCACAGTTTAACAATGAATTAATATAAAGAAATTCTTTGCATCCCCCACCACGTATAAACCAATGCGTAATCCCTACAAATATGTCCGGAGAGGCCAGAGATACTGTTCTCTACTGTTCTTTGTCGTCATTTCTTTGGCAACAGCCATCCCATCCCAACTACCTGTATATTTTTCTACGGCCACTGGAGCACATTATAAGTGAGTACCTACTGAAAATTTTGTATTATTGCTAAAAATTATACTAGAATATTCATAATTTAATCATTATTCACAACATGTATATGTAATAGTTAATGAGCATTAGTAATTTTAGTCTAATGCAACTTAAAAATGAGTTTATATGTATTTGACTGTTACAAATTTTTTTGTGCATTGATGACATTTTGAAATAAACGTGGTAGACACCCAATTGTAGTCACACGCCATCGATAACGATCGGAAACGATTTTTTTGTGAACGGCTTATATTTAAGTGATAATTCAATTGGAAATAGGGTACACTCTCGTGACGTGGTCGAATGATTTTAATTTACTCATTGACCAGGGAAGGGTGATTAATTTATATTACTCTTTACTGCCCAAGCATCATCTTATGTGTGCTTATTTTATATAGCTAGTTTTCATTTTTCATTAAGTGTCGAAAAGTATAATTAATTATATTCGGTAAACGTGTAGATATAGAGTAAGGTATAGTTTTATTTCATACGATCTAGATCAGTAGTACGATCATGACTCTGAACACTATTACTTGAAACCAAACCTAACGGCTAACATAGTCACGTGCGCAACAAATAACGATATACATTACGGCCGCTGCCCGAGTTTTATTGTTGCCACATTGCATGCATCATTGGTATTGTCATCTGCTCAATACGTTTTGAATAGGTATACTCATCTGAACGCTAAATTTCTGATTTATGGAACCAACTCAGCATTATATTACAACGAAATTCTTTTCATTGTAATTTTATATTTTATCTATTAATCAATATTTATTTCATAATAATATCAGGGGGTTGATACATTAAGATAATACAAAAAATTTGACTGAAAAAAAATTTATAAATATACAAATGATTTACATATGTATATAAAAAATACTATAATAAGTTATAAAATTTATAAAACATATAAATTATAAATATATTTTGTTAACAACAAAATACTATCTACTCAAGTGCATGTATTAAAATACCTAGTTATATTATAATATAACGGGAACCCATCACCCAAGTCCGATTTTTTAAATAGTGTATTGATAAATTGTTAGAATATATGTATATGTTCTAAAATATTTATTATAATATGTATTAGACACACACACACACACACACACATATATATTGGAGCGCAATCGTGTTGCGTTTTATGCAGGTAAAAATGTAAAACGGGATCGATTGTGTTGCGTTTTTTGAATAGAAGAAAAGGTAAGCCGGGTACAATCGTATTAAAGCCAATATTTTTGGGTGGCGGCCCGATAATAGAGAATCAGTCAGCCATTTCACCAATGGTCATGAGTAACACACGTATACAATAAAATACAGAATATTGTTAATCTTCGGTGTTATGGCCGATTGACTCAACTCACTATCCTATGCTGTCTGTGTAAAAGTCATATTATAAATGTCATGATTCATAACATATGAATATTGTTTTATTCTGTAATATGTTTATCTACAATGACATTATTGGCGCTGGTAAAATCTACTATACAATATTTTAATTATTCATTTTAAACTGATCTGTGTTTTTATTTGAACATTGAAAATTAGAATAATTTTGATAAAATATTTTATTATATTTCACCGACAAATTATATACACAGTGTTTTCTTTTATAAATTTATAATTTTAACATTAAATAAATATTAACTATAATCAGAGTAGGGCGTTATTAAAATGAAATATTATCTTTTTTTTTTTTATTGAACTTATTTAAGCCTGGCAACTAAGATCATTAGCTGTGGATAAGAACAGTAGGTTTCTTGTCTAAGGTTTGGTTAGTACGGTTGGAACACGTGTGTGTATGTGTGTGCGCAATGGATTCGTCACACTTAAGTGACCAAAGCCAACCACTGCGCCACACCAGGCCACAAACATTTTATCTATATGATTATTTAATTAACATTTTATTCAACTAATTTTATATTTAAAGAAAGTTGTTCGAATAATTTTCGGTTATTTTATTTAAATAAATAAGAATGATAATTTAAAAAAAAACCAATATTGAAAACAATAACTTGTGTTGCATTTTAAGTTACACGATTGTACTTCGTATTTTATTCGGAATAAATGCAAAAATATTATAAATTAAACAAACATATATCAATAGAAAAAAAGTAAGGAATTAAATATGTTTTTATTTTAATCATATTTTAATATTAATTATAATTATAACAAATTTCAAATTTCACTTAATAAATCTCAATTATCTAATAATAGTAATAGTAGCTTATTTTAATTATAATTACTAGTATTATGTTTTAAAATCATTCGAATATATTTTTATTGGAATAATTAAGAGAAAAAATGATTCAATTATCAACTTGTTTGCTCAAATCAAATAACCGAAAATTATTTGTACAACTGCTTTAAAATTTAGTCGAATAATATTTAATTCGAACTAAATAAAATTTTGCAAAACTCTGCCTATAATACATATATGCATGCATCAAAAATATTAAATTATAACAAATACTGATTTTTATAATTAGTAAAAGCATACATTTATAATTTGACTAAATAAACCTATACTTATCCAGTTAATTGTAAATCAAGAAGTAGGTATACACTCCACTACACCACTGAATTGCTATATGGTGTTAATTATAATATAATTATCTTTATTAAGTATTATAGTTATATACCTACCTATATTCAATGTATAATAATCTTATTATACGTATAAAATAATTTTATTAATCCTACTATCTCTAAGTATATATTTCATTAATACATACACTATAGGATTAAAATAACATCTATTCTACAATCTACATATTAAAAAAAAATGTATTCGTATCTCTTATTTAAGCTCAATAATGTTACCGTTTCACAATCAATTTCTGATGTATATATTGTACACTGCTAAATCCACCCTTAGTAATTATTTTTTATAACAATTTTATTAGTGAACAGTCAACTATTTTTAATATGTATTAAGTATTAGGTTTTACTTGTACTTCAATAGACGAATAAATAATATAATCACAAGTTAATAAACATAGTAAAATATATTCACTTTTTTAAAAATAATTTTAATTCCATTTATCCCGTGGAATGTACTGACTGATAAATCTTAAATAAACTGCTTGAATATTAAATTGGTAAATTTTAGGCAATCATAAAATAAGTTTTAAATTATTATCTTGTATAATATTATCACAATTTTTACTAAAAATGCTAAATAAAAAAAACACTAATTTTTTACTTTAATCACAGTTACATTAATTGAGATCAAATATCTGTTGGTTTGATTCATATTTTTTTTAAATTTCGCATCACTATATTTATGATTATAAATAATACATGAAATATAACATGCAACATATGACACTGATATCCGATTGAAAAATAACATACCCATAATTTATGTTTTGCAGATCTGCCGAATACAACAACAATGTCTTGTTGGTATTTTGACAAAGACGAGCTATTTCGAACCCCCTCTGCTCGAGATGGCATACCACATGAGAAGGAGACCCAGTATCGTCAAGATGGAGCAAAGTTCATCATAGACGCTAGCACTAAGTTGGGCTTGGGCTACAACACGATGGCTACTGGTGTTGTTTTTTTCATCGTTTTTACATGTTTCATTCGTTCAAAACGTTCCCTAGATATGTGAGTCTACCAACCTTTCTATTTTATTGATGGTTCAGCCGTCAAAATAATTGATTAAAACTTTCAAAGAATTTATTGCCTGGTGATTATAAAAAGTATTTATGTTTGACAACATTACCTGTCACTTCAAAGGCGATCATGTAATGCAATGTAAATCTCATCGATACTATCCCTTATTTACATTGTTGCGGTGGCAGTAAATTATATCTGGCTGTATTTTGCTGCCATTGTAGCAATGAACTTATTATTTACATTATTATATTGCAGTATCTGTAAATAATATAACATTAAGATTAATCGATTTAAAGTTAAAAATTAACACAGAAGTACTTACAAGTATAACAGGTACATGCTTTTAACATGGCTTTTGGAAACCATTATATGCTGAACTGGTATCTAAACCGTTTTGTTTGTTTTTAAATTTAATGCCATTACCTGTAAAATAATTTTTTTTACATATTTTTGAACTAATTTTTATTATTAAATTATTAATTCTTAAAATAAAATAATTAATAAGAAGAAAGTAAACTACAATGTGTTATAGTCAATTATTTTTTGGTATGTCTTAATTATTCATAGTTTTTATGAATTTTTTGTTATCTAGTATAGTATTAACTTATTGAACTACATTATATGAATTTAATGTGTGTGCAATATTTTATTTCAGCTTACAGCTTGCTGTTGTCTTTTTCTTGCTGGTAAAGTAGAAGAAACGCCAAAAAAAAGTAAAGACATACTAAATTTGGCTAAAACAATATTACCTAAGCACAAATATAAAACCTTCAGAAAAGACCCAAAGGTTAGTTTTTTACTCATTAAATATGTAAAATACCATTTTAATGGTTTGAATATTTAAATATTTTAGGAAGATTTATTGATACTCGAGCATAAATTATTAAAAACAATTAAATTTGATTTACAAGTTGATCATCCATATCGGTTTATAACGAAATATGCTAAATGTTTTAAAGGTAGGTAATATTTATTATTATTTTTTTTTTTCATTTTTAATATTTATATCGTTTTAATTTTTATTCAACAGGTGATCAGACTAAACTGACTAAAACAGTACAAATGGCTTGGACATTTATAAATGACAGGTAAAAACTATCAATTTGTCTATATCGGTAATATTCTTATTAGAACAAATGTATTAACTGATTAAGATCAGAGATAGATTCTCATTTTTATTTTCATTTTTAACAATCTAATTATAAATTATTTACATTATTAAAAATATATATGATATATAGATAGATCCATCCCTGAAGT